GTAGCCAGCAACTGTCGAATCATGTCCTCAACCACCGGCTGCATGGCACGAAGCAGGATCTGTTCGTCCGAAACCTCGCGAGACTCGCCGGGAAGCTGAAAGTCGAGATGGCACGGGTCGCATTTCGCAAAATGCTGCAGACTTGCTCGAATTTCTGAGCATTTCTGGTTGAGCATGCAGAACCGGCGCTGGTTCCTGGCCGCTTCGATAAGCACAGATTCCTGCTCGGAGCCACTCAAGCCATGACTGCGCAAGAGACCGCTGATCTGCTCATCCTCCACCCGCTCCGGACAGGCTGAACTCAGGGTCTGCAAGACCTGACAGACTTGCAAGCAGCGTGATTGCGGTTAAGGATGCATGCCTGCACTTTCCCTGAAGCTTGGGATGATGGGGAAAGTATCCCTTGCGAGCCTCCTGCTTCAAGGTCTCCAGCAGCGAGACTTCCACAGTGTGCCAAGCCGAGACCAGACCAGGTGGCGGTGCGAAGGACCACAACCATTCGTGGCCGCCGACGTCGTGGCCCCCGACCTGCGCAACGAGCGGCAGAAATCGATCACCCAGATGGCAGAGAAGCTCCCTCGGAGTCTGGAAAAAGCGCCTCTGCTGCCTACTGGCTTCGACCCAAAAAATAGCCATCTGATTGTCCTCCTTGCCAATTGTCATGCCTGAGTGAACCTGCACATCCGGGACTGAGCAATCCGACATGATGCTGTCGCTGATGGGGAAGCGGATGGGAAACAGAATCAAGTTGAACCTGCAACGGATCAAGATGGATTCGCCACCAGCCATAAAGCTGTCACCCTCGTCGCACAAGCTCATCACGTCTTGCTCGAAGCTGTCCTGGTACTCTATGATGCCACCTTCCCTGTTGGAGTATGCCACATGCTGTCCCCAGCTTCCCAATGCCTTTTCGCTGAACTTGGACACCCACCTGGCACGCGGAAGCCGTATGCCAAGCTGCTTGAAGGGCAAGATCTTGAAGTGCTGGCAAGTGATCTTCTGTAGGTCCCCTTGGCAGGCAAAGACCACACGGAAGCAGGCCTTGCCGAAGTCTGTCCGCAGCGGCTCTGTGCGGAAGGAACTCACACCCGTGTAGTCCTGAAGAACCATGCGAGTCAAGCGAGCAGGACACCTATTTACGTAGGCACAAACAAAGCAGCATCCGTGCCTGTGGCACCAGACATGAAAGCAGCAAATGCAATGTCCTGAATCAGTTTGCGAAGGTCCTCCTCGCTGTCGTTGAAAAATGCTGCTTGGAAATCGCTGAAGGCAGCATCTTCGAGGGACTTGCAAACTTCGCGAACAGCCACTCGCACCTCGAAGATGCTTTTGAGGTTTCTACAAAGTAAGGGCGTTCCTTGTGGGTCTTTAGAACACGGAACCCTTTTCGGAAACTCCCAATCTTGCTGCTTCAGGATGCAGCGCGATTCGCTACAGACTGTCAGAGAGATGTAAGGCCACACAAATCCCACTCACAGAATCCCCACCGTAGATACATCAAGGCACCATATCAGCTTGTTCGCTTCCAAGCCCTTCTTCTGGGATGGAGCCTTCCAAAAGCTGGTGCGCTTTCTGGATGCTTTCCAAGAGCTCGCCCCGGGCGATTCCCAAATGAAGCTCCAGAGCCCCAAAGAGCAACTGGCCCAGAGCTTCACCATCGATCTCCTCGCCGGCATCCATCATAGCCACGAAGGAGCCACACTGAGATGAGATCAGGCCCTCATTCACCCCGAATGGGGCAAGGAAGTGCCGGAGTGCAGCTACCAGCCGCATCCGCCGTTCCTCAGCGACCGCCACCTCAAGGAGGCTGCGCACATGTGCAAGTAGCTCCTGCAACTTGCAAGGTTCCATGTTCCTGCAGATACCGGGCATAGAATTATGGCGGAGATGAAGGCTTACCATCTGTGCCAGAGAATCGAAGTCTTGTTCTCTCAGAAATGCAGCGAAGAGCTTGGATCCACTGGACCTGCTCAAAGTATCCTCGAAGGAATCTTCTGCCCCAAGCCCACCAAGCTTTCCACAGTAGAAGCGTTCCACCTGAGCTGGCACTGCGGCTCTTGGGGCCACCCGCATTTGGGACACCGTCTCGGCAATAGACACCTTTGCGGCCTCAATCTGCTTCGACCTCTCTGCGATGGTTCTGTGGCCCAATTCCACAACCTGTTGCCTACACTTCTCTTCAATGTCGTCCAGCTCAGCCTCTACTGATGCAGCCTTTACCTTCACGTCCAAGCACTCCAGGATGTGGCAAATCTCTGCTTGCAAGCAGAAATTCTGGAGCAACTCCGCGTCGTGATGAAAAGCAGACAGATGCCTGTCCGCGGCAGATTGAACTAGGTCAGCCTGAGCATGGCGAGATATCGAATCAACGCAAGCAAACGGCCATGGAGGACATGGTTGAGATTAAAAGTGCTGACGAGGTGCAATGGTCCCCTGTGCATAGCCCATAGGACCTAATTCTTCAATTGCCTCCTCGCAGATTTTCTGCTGCTCGCCCGCGATGTGCTTGACCGCATCCTGCACTCGGAAAGTCGTAATCCTTGGTTCAGAACTGGCTGCTTGATACATGGACGAAGCAGGGACACAGCGCATGCTGCTGCAGCTGCAACTTGCCGTCAGGCCTCTGAATGGCACGTTCGCTCATCTGCTCCGCAAAGCATCGCAGGTCACTGAGAGAGCCGGACACCCTCCAGCACTTCAGGCTCCCAGAGATGACTTGTGACGTTTGGAGGGTT